GTGAAAGATTTGCGCTCACCGCCAAAGCCTGCTGGCACTGGCACACCAGCCTTCTTCAGCAAGGGTTCCTGGAGTTAGTTTGCTTCTGAATCGCTCCAGAGGATTCCCATCCACAGAAGGTAAGCATATAGATAAACGTCTACGTGCAAAGATGCGCAAGTGCTGACAATTTGCAACCACAGCCATAAGTCCTGCTGGGCCCAAGCTTCCTTCAGTGCAGCCTCTTCCCCGTCCCCTGCGTCACCTACTGACGACTTGTCCTTATTACCTGCTCGCTTCTTTGGAGGTCGCTTGTTCGGGGAACCTTGGTTTGTATCGGCGACGTTGGATACCTTTCGCTTGTCAGCATTATTATGCTTGTTGGTCCCCTCTGGCTCCCCACCTGTGTTTGTGGCAGCTGGTCTTGCCTCGTCATTTGCCTTTGTTTCACCTGCTGTCGACTTGGGCGCTTCACATGCAGCCTTGGCTTTTGCTTTACCTCGAGGTCGACCTCGCGCCTTTGCCTTTGCCTCAGGCTCCTTTGCGCAATCCCTGTCATCAGGTTGCTTTGCACTCTTACGAAAAGCAGCTTTGACCTGTCAGCAGGGACATTCGCGTTGTATGTAAATTTTCATGAATTAATATTAATAACGCATATGCAACATGCAGTGAGTAAAAGGCCGCACAGCTTCAGATATTCCGCTCACCTTAGCTTGAGCCTTCACAAGATCAATATCACCATCTTCCGCAGTGGTGACACACATTTTTTCAACTTGCTCCTGCGCAGAATGCATAAATATCAACTCAATCAAACCCAGATTATGAATCAGCAAGAAGACCATCTTGCAGAGAGCCTCCAGTGAAGCATCCACTGATGAAAGAGCCACCAGCAACGGCTTCGACTCCTAGATCGACGGACTCACCTATCCCACTAATGTTATAATTGGAAAACTGCTGTTGTTGAACTGCATGCAACAACATTTCTGGGCTGAGGTCATTGTGCTCAATGCCATGCGGGTCCTGCAAGGCTTGCCTCCGCTCTTCAGGTTTCTCGGGGTGAACATCCTGCATGCGTGGTTAAGACGGGGTGAAGTGGAGGGTTGATATCGCAGCAAATCAAAACAATCCAGCATTAAATTCAAAGAACTTTGCTGTGACGCAGTGTTCACACATTCCTCGTTCAAGGGAGTTGGCATTCCCAGGTCCAGTGGCAGGGTTTCCGCGGCATCGGGGTGAATGAACAAAGCCTCAAACTCCCACCGATACGATCCAATCCCTGAATGACTGCAAGCTTAAAGGCAAGACAATGGGATCATAGCGATAGACTTAGAAATTGAAGTATAGAGTCAACCAGGTGCCTTCTTCACATTGTCACCGGCAGGTTCCTTTACCTCCATCTCAGCTGCAGAACTTGATGACGGTGTGTCCTGCTCCTCAGGTTGACGGTGCATAGTGACACATGTAGCACGGACACAATATCAAGTCTTTAAAACTTAGTTGGAACTGTGAAGTGGCTCCAGAACTTAAGGATCACAGTGACTCATGGTTTCAATATGTTTCTAGGCTGCACACCTGGTCCTCAGCCATGCAGTCTGCAATGGGCATATCACCTCCCCAGCAGTCAACCCTTGAAAGCTGCACACTAGGGTTGTACACCAAGCCTTGTCCACTCTCTTCCAGTGCTCTTTTGATGGTTTGCTTGATGAGCAAAACAGCTTTCCGCCTGACTAGGTGGTCATGTATTCACAATTGCTGACCTTTTAGATATCAGCAGCAGTTCCCCAAAGACTCCAGAAAGACTTGAGTGAACTGGCCTGGACCCTTCAGACCTTCCTGCAAGAGTTAGGCCATGGACGGCAATGCCACGAGCAACTCCAGCAGTGATGCCAGCCCAGGCCTGCGAAACAGGTCTCACCCCAAGCTCTAGTACTAGATGAAATACAGTACAAAAGGATTGTAAACAACAGCAAGCCAAGCCTTTATGGTCTTCTTGGGAGTTTGAGGTGCAAAGAAACCATACCGTAGGGCGCAGGCATAGAAGATTTTCTGACAGATTGAAAGGACTTCGATAAACAACAATGCACTAGAAAGAAGAACGTTGACTCACAACAAAAGTGCAGATCATCAGCACTCTTGTACCGCGTCTGTGAAAAAGAAAAGAGAGTCGCAGCCTTGAAAGCTGTTTGATGCGGCAGCGAATGTGGAGCAAAGGTAGCGTAAAACTCCACCAGGAACTCCCAGTTGTTTTCCAACTTGGCGGGGCATGCATGTCTTTGTCCCACCACGATTGCTTTGGGGAAACTAACACGAAATCTGAGGGAGCCACGGCCTCAACCGATGCAATTCCATTAGAATCCAGCTTGAAGACCTTCCTGTCCTTCGAAGCATGAAATCACGGAGCCAATAGAGTAGGTTGTTGCGTTGCTCACTTGCCAAGAAGAAACACACTGCATCCTTAGAATCTCTGATGCTTGGAATCCGTGAGGGTTCAGCATTCAGCCACTGAACGATCACATCTTCCAGAAGAATGAACGTGGTATCCTTCCCACAAAGGTTACCCTCCTTACGATTCAGAAGGTCAACCGCGCACGAACGACGAGCAAACATGAATAAGTGCTTCAATATATGCAGCATATTAATACAAGCTTCTGGCTTCCCCAACGTTGACTCACGTCCATGGCCAGCAACCCCAGAAACAGGAGCAACCATTTTGTTTTCTCCTGCTGGCACTCTACTATAGGTTGAGCCCTTGCTTGTGCATGGACAGGCAGGCACAGTGCAGGTAGCCATGGTCCAAAAAAGAAACTGAGCAACGAAACAAAGTTGAATGGGGAGGCCAGGGGCGTACCTTCCAGAATATAGGGCCTCACCGTTGGAGGCTCCTCTGGAAGGATATCCTCAAACTCACCTCAGATCACTGCCACAACACCTACTCAAGACCATGTGTACGGGAACAAAAAATAAGATGGTACCACTCTGTGGCTGCTGCCCGCTCCATGTTGACAAAGACCCACCTGGGAATTGGGACATCGATGACCCACTGGATCATACACCACGAATTTGAGACGCATCCAACTAAGCACATAGCAGTATAGTTGCGGTCACAGATGGGGCCATGCCAGCGACGGGTGCATCTGTTCGAAGATATATAGTACAGTTAACTGATTACCATGCACTATCTGGCTATGTGCCTGTAAATGTGACAAAATATGTGCAATCCACATACCAGCAGGCTTTCCAGTAGCCTGAATCTCACATGTGACTTGGCCTTTCGTGAACGTCAGCGCTCAGAGCCAACATACCATTCGTGAGTTCTGAGAACCAACATTTCAACGTTGGTAGTAGTTTCCTACAGCGATCCTCAGGGACACTCTTGATTATTACAGGCCTGATAGTGTGACTGGCCAAACTAGGGGACCCGGACAGTGGAAGTTTTAGGGTACATTTCTGGGTTGCTATCGTTTTAACGATTGGTCACTTAGATCTTTTGGTCAGGTAGTGTCTACCTTTCCAGGAGTGCTGAGATTGCCGATGGTGAGAGTGGATGCAAGATCTCAAACAAGCTTCGAGTTCATTACTGCATGCTGCTTAGTCGGGTCAAAAACGTTCGAAGAGTGAGGGAAGCAAGTTCCCACAACCGCATGTCGTATCATGTCGTATCCATGCAAGTGGCAACTGGCTTCCCAAGGCATCCGTTCACATACAATGCGGGTATCGTTTGGCATCGTTTTCGGCATTGCTGTCACTACTGTGCCGCCTTGCACAAAGGCAAGCCAATAGGTGCGAACAAAAAGACTTAAGGTATCATTAATCTATCTTGCTTCTACTTCCGGGAAGGAGGCTACGGCTACACACAGACAATCGACGTGACGCCCAAATGTGCACAGCCATAAGGCTAGGTCAGGAATTGTTTTTGGGACTGCTATCGATGTTTCAAGGAAAATTGACACTTCCATGTTTTCTGAAAATGTGAGCTCTGATTTTATGCACTTTGCTCATGTAGACCCTTGATGAATAAAACCCTTATCATGTAGACCCTTAATTTAATAAAAGCCTTGTAATGTAGGCTCCTGATTACAAAAGCCTGCTTATAGGTCCTTGACGAGTAAAACAATTATGATGCAGATGTTTGATTAATATAGCCCTCATAATGTAGACTCTTCAGCAATAACACCTTTGATTAATAAACCATGATATATAAATAAAACACTTATAATCTAGACTCTTGAGTAATCACACCCTTACAATGTAGACGCTTGACAAATTAAGCCCTTATATGGTAGACTCTTGATTCATAACACCCTTGCAATGTAGGCTCTTGATTAATATAACTACCCTAGATTGTAGACTCTTGATTAGTAGAAGCCTTATAAGAATGCAGACTCTTGAATAGCAAAACTATAATGTAGACTCTTGATTATTCATGTAGACTCCTGATTAATTGAACCTATATTGTGCACTCTCGACTAATGACACAATGATAACACAATTATCATGTACAGTAGATTCTTGATCAATTAATTAAACACTTAGAATGTAATTACACCTCCCCATTTGCCGTTGAGAAATGGTAATGCAAACAGTTCCAGGGTGTACTATGAAACAAGACAGGGCCGTGGTTCTTTCAACCGGAGGACCCTGCCTGGCTGACCGAACATGAAGAGAATCAAATACAATATACAGAGGTCAAGCAAGCAGGTGTTTGGGGGTTCCAGGTTTTGATCCCCAGCCCGAAAGGATTGAAAGCTAACCCAGCACCCTGGAGTCTGAGTTGAGCAGCCAACAGGTCGCCTCTTCCAGACCGACCCTGGTCTTGCCGATTGGCGAACGTGAGGCACGTGGCCCTCGCAGGCAGTGTGGTTCGTGCAAGTTGAATGAACTGAACACAGGTTTTGGACCGCCATTTTTACCGATCCATCCAGGATCATCCAGGCTCCCCGGCTCCCCTTGCTCTCATGGCGAACGACCGGGCGCGAAAACGAAGGCTTCGGACCCAAGGCGAGTCCCCAGGAGCTCCGGGCGATGGATCAGGCTTCGGACGAGGAGGTGGTTCAAATCCGCGAACCTTGACCGATGAGAGACGCGTCGAGAAGAGGACAGGACAGGGTTGAATGCCGTGAGTGCCGTCGCGAGAACTCACAGAGTACCCCCCAGTAAAGTTGAAACATGTTCGGTGTTACAATGTTTGCTTGCCCGAAGATATATTGGAAAGAACAACGATATAGCATGATATAGCAAATACATCCATCTGCTGCTGTCGCTTGATTTATCCAAGGTCAGAAGGAAATCAACACCGTCTAAGTTGACTTCTAGGCTGCATCGTCACCAGGCGTGTTTGGGCCGAGCGACCCTGGGCTTCGAACCTGGATCCTGGACCCATCATCCTCGACCTGGTCCTATTCAGAGACCATTTTCGCGATGGAAATGGGAGACCCCAGTGGATCTAGTAGTCGTTTTGAAGGAATTCCCACTGCTAAAAAACATATCCACCCCCACAGCTTAGGAGCTTGATTGATCGTAGATTCGTAGATTGTAGAAGTGGTGACAGGGATACATTGGGTAAGCCACCACCATACAGTTGCATGCTGGATATCAAATCGCTTACAACAAGCAATGGCAAGCGCAACCTGGAGCTTCCTTCGCTAGAAAAAAACAAAAAAAACTCGCTTCATAGAAGTGCTCGTTCAAGTAAAAAGCGCTACAAACACTCAAAAAACGCACATGGATCCCTCTCATATCCAACCCATTTTAGGGTGGTTCGCCACTTGTCAAATTGCTCTCGCTTTGCGACAAAATTGCACGCGTTTTGCGGCAATTTGCACGCATGTTGCAGGTTTCCACCCTTGGCACAAGAAGACTGCAGTGACATGCTCGTTTCATCATCAGAACATGCTACGACACTCCAAAAAGTGCTCATTTCCTTGGTTTGCCAGAAAAACAAGTGCTACCATGTGCTACCAATTGAATGTTCAGGACTATTTGGCGAAGAATATTAAGCTGCCAGGTTTCCTATCGCTTTCCTCGACGGAATCCCGTTCCTTCGACCACACGGCTTCCCGTTCCTTGGACCATCTCGCCTGCTAAAGATTTGAAGACGATCAATGCGCTGCACCATCTCTTTAGAGGAGACCTGTCGTAGAAAAACACAACAACAACAACAACAACAACAACAACAAGACAGATCGAACCAAAGCAGTTCTCAACCAAAGAGGAATTGTACGTATATGCTTAGTCTCAGAACCATATCTTTCACGATCGGTATTAGTTCCACACAAAAATCCGCCGATCTATGCAGCCATCGATAGCGGACAGCTGCTGCTGCACTCGTCCACTCCGTCTCAGTGACTCGAGTCCTTCGAGTTGGAACAGCTGGAGATGTTCGATGTTTTCTTCGAACTTCTGCGTTGAAAAACACCAGTTTGTTTGAGTTAAGCACAACACATATAGTATTCATTAGTCTTCCATTCGTCTAGACTCTGACTCACCAACATGGAAAAGGGAATGATGAACACGTCATCATAGTCCTTTCTATACGGTTTGGGCAACAATGTTCCCATGACATGTGGGAGTTGGAACATGTGTTGGCCTTCAGGGTCATGTCTCCCCAAAACCAAACTCACCTAAGTGCAGCATTTCTGTCCTGTCAGGTTCAAATGAACAGAATTATATACATGATATTACACTTCTTGCCAAATTTACACCGCTTGCACTTGCAAACTACAACTCTAGAAGCTGTTCCTCATTCTTTTCCACAGCCCCTTTGGTCGTTCGTCGCCGTCACCAAGGATGCGACTCGCATCTCTGGGAAGATTCGCACTTCGTAGCTGGCCCTCAGGTCAAAGCGATGTCTTTTTGTTGACTGGGATGTATGGAGGAACCCTCCAAAGGATGCATCCATCTGGTGTGGAGCTTCGAAGTTCGACTCTGTGCTCTTCAAACATGGTCTTGATTTAGGTGGGCAATGATGTAACAGCAGCCGAGAACGGTTGGTCGGCCAATGATGTAACAACGAAGTCGAATGTTTCGCTGGCACTGAACAACCCTGCCGTAGACACTCGGACACTGGCAAAAGAACAAGCATGTTGAGCACAATAGTATTAGGATACTAAAAATGATCCACAGTAAAACCAATTTTAAACAACAAAACAGCAAGCGCATGTGCAGCATGGGCATCGCATCCCCTCCGACGAGCTTGTTCCTTGAACAAATCAATAGGATCCGCATCCAGGTCCCATGGGCGGATTTGGTTCATTTTATTTTCAATACAACTGAGGCGGGACCGACGGTCTGCGGGGTTTCCCCCCGTCTCCAACTTGGGCCACATGTCTGGGCCATATGTCCATTCATGTCAATGTCCATCCAACTGAGTCTGCCCGCTTCACACGTGTGAAGTTCACCCGGTGTGCAAGAAGTTCAGCGTGGCTTCCTTTCCCTTCTCGCTCCTGCCAACACTCGGCCATGGATCAGCTAGAGTTTAAACCAGCTCCTTTGATGCTCCAAATCATTAGGGGCAAGGCCAGTCGCGTGCATGTCTCTGAACACGGGCCCGACCCAGTGATCACGTCATCAAGGTGCTTCAGCTTGAAGTATCTTCTCTGACTTGGAAAACACAAGAAAAACATCATCTGAGTTGACCATCCGACATACTTGCAGTCGTCCATCTGCGCAAAAACTCATGACCTGGGTGCACCCCACGGCATTAATACAAATTACAGTACATCAAATTACCAAACATGGGGGTTGTGTATCAAATTTGGTGAGAAACATCATAAAACTCATGCATATATACTGAGGACTAGTGACCCAGGACTTGTCGGAGGTAGGCGAAAAAAAGTGAAACCCAAGTCATCAGGAAAAAACTTCAAAATTACATAGGTGTTCAAGTCCTATGTCATCAGGCGCCGCTCTACAAAAACTGGCCAAAAACATCCTTTCTTGGCATGTCTTATTTTGTTGATGCTGGTATTCCACATGACGTGGGTGCTTGGCACCTCTCCAACTCCTGTCATATCAGTGTTGCACTCTGGGTAGTATCCCTCTGTTTTTGCTGTGGTTTGTGCGGTGACATGGGAGTTGCTGGGGGATACTCCTGACTCACTAGTACCCACTACCCCTATGTGTCTATCCCAATACCAGCAACAATGATGATAGTAATTAAAGGTCTTGTTCAACAATAGTGATACAGTAACTGTTCAATGACTGTTACTGGTGATGAGACAAACCCTAGATAGTTACATGGGTATTTCATCACACCTCCAATCAAGTAGATATGGCTGTGAGGAACTCAGGCGGACCGCAACTCCCCCCAGGGGCGGTTGACCATGTCTCGGGGCGGAACCTTCTGTTCATTTAAAATGGTGATGAAGCAAGGTTCCCCTGCTGGGACCTACAGCCATATCATGTACTCCCAGCTTGCTGTATCCTTTCAGGTTCTGGCTCGTTCCGGCTCGCAGGTCGCATGGATTGCTTCCGTTCGCCGTTCGTGGGGGTTCCACCACGTCGGCCACCCCGGAGTCGGGTGGCACCGGACCTGGCGCATGAGCTGTGCGACCTGGGAGGCCTTGAGGTGTGGCTTGGCGACGACCCAAGGAGGGCACCCAAGATGAGTCTTCTTCCGCTCAGCTGCTCGTTGGGGCCATGAAGTCAAAGTGCAGGAGTCATGTTTGGAACCATATGTGAAAGCTGGCGGCCACTAGTTCTTGGTGCCAGACACCAAAGGCATTCGCCGCTCTCTGGTGGTGCCCTCTTTCGTGTGAATGCTCCTGTCATGCGAGTTAGTCGAGAGTACGCAAGAGTATGGACAAACCTGTCCACTTGTTGAGGAGTTTTGTCACATGCATGACTTCAGGCAAAGTCTTTTTTTTACTGTCACATGCAAGACTACACTTCACCACCATCATGGAGCAAGTTCTCCTCTATCATCTTCCCTGTATCCACTTAAATAACGCATTGTCGAAAGGTACGATCCAACTCCGCTGAAACAATGGAACATGACAAAATTGAATCCACGGATTCTTCCAGCTAGGCACCCGCCACCTTTGTTGCCACCCCTCCTGTAGGATCTCCATCAGACTCTGATGAGGCCCGCTTTTCACAGACATGTCCTGGCGCTCGGGGCATCAATTCCACCGGCAGCCGAGGGGGGTCCAGGCCGTCACAGTTGAGTTGTACCAATGTCATGCCCCGTTTGGGGCTCCAGTGGTACTTCCTCAGGAGGTGGGAGTGGAGTGGGTTTGAGGGGTCCAAACACCTTCTGAGGAAGTACCACTGGAGCCCCAAACGGGCTTCGGGATGGGTTTGGTATGACCCGGTTCTTTCCCCAGTTGAACGATGTTGAACAAAAGTCTCTAGGGATCCAAGTGCCTTCTCAGAAGGTACGACTGGACCCTCCAAACCTACATAGCAGTGTCTCCAATCACCGTACCTGAGAAGGTACTTGGATTCCTATAGGGAGTGTTAAGAAGTGAACATATTAACTCATGCAAGGCTGGGGGAACCGTAGCTCTAACTGAGCCGTGGAACCGCAGCAAACACGAAAATGCCAATTTCCATGAATTGGTTTCAAGGAACATCTGCAGGAAACCCTTGTGTTATCTTGTGTTCACCCCCCAAAACCATGGCTTCCTGTAGATGTTTCCCTTGAACCAATGATGTGAAAATGACTCCGCTTCTTTCGTTCGATCCAGCCCAACTCCAGCTGGCGCGCCGTCACACGCAAGGATGACTGGCAGACCTGTGCGCACAAATTCATCCGAGCATGGCGCAGTCCATGGGCAGTTACCGTGAAGATCCATATAATGAATCATTCAGTTCCAAGTTTGAAGGAGTCAGTCTTGGAACTATGTTGATTTCAGTTCAAAGGGTTTTGGAACTATGTGTCCTTCAGTTCAAAGGGTCATGGAGCCTGTTTTCCAAATTGTTGGCAGGTCAGTCGCCACCAAAGCCTATACGTCCAGTGACACACATGACACGCGGCCATCAACTAACAGAGGCTGCATGTGATCCATGCGCCCCGTCGATGGGACTTAGTCCAACTTCTGACTCGACGGCTTCGCTCACACCAATTCCAACGACTCCCTATAGGGATCCAGTCGTACCTCCTCAAAAGGTACGACTGGACCCTCCAAAGGCCCCCCAAGCATCCCACCGTTGGAAACGAGGCTACGACTGGATGGGACTGGGACTGCATCTGAGAGATCAAGTTCCGAATCTTGCCACACACGACGAGTTTCTTTAACCAATGTAAAATGGAAAGCCCATGGCGGCCATGGCACATGGGCTGCACAGCGCTATGCAGCGCTATCAGGAAGCCCGCTGCGATGCAGCTCGACATGCGCATCGGGTTTCATGTGAGTCCGTCCAAGCATGTGAACGTCCAAGCATGTCATGTTTCTCATCGAAGAATCTGAAGATGAAAATAACTACATGGTTCAACTCATGTCATCCAAAAAGGTTAACCAAAGAACGACATAAAATCAGCCATTAGTTAATTTTTCACATTAGTTAGTTTACTTTTCACATGCATTCATCCAACCTAAGCCGCCATTTGCACCCCCCAAAGGAACGCCCCCCATTTCGAACGAACCCATGTCCGACATGTCCCAATGGTTGTCTAACGGGTATGAGATCCCTTCCGAGAAGAAGTCACTCATGGCCGCACACAAAGGCTCACAGGCCGATCTGAGCGACCCTGTGAAGGCTGGCAGGCTCCAATGGGTTCTTGGTTCGGTCTCCATTTGTTTAGGCGCCGAAGAACAGGTCTCCATCCATTCATGAACGACTTCAGAACTCGAACCAATGAGTTGAGGGGGTTGGTCCTATTTCAGAGAAAACAGGCATCTGCGCCTCTGAGAAACCATGAGAATAGCAGGGCGGTTCTGTTCGGATCGCCTGCAAGCTCTCCGCCAAAGCCTTGGCGTGGCCGACGAGATCTTGGTCTTCAGGATCTCAAAACTGGGGAAGTGAGGCATTGCGCAGTCAAAGATGAACAGCCCAGTGAGTTCAGAGTTGATGATGCAAATCCATTTCGGAGTTTAACTCATCAAGCATCTCTGTTATTCCATCCGTGAGTCATCTACCCCAAGTTGGACCAACTTGGGATAGATGACTCACGGATGCAAGATTTTGCTTAATGAAGGTGAGCGGGGGGTCCAACTGAACCCCCTAAGCCTTTTTCCGGGTCAAAAGGAGTAGCCTGGTGTTCAGATTCCATCTTCCAAGCTTCCCACAGTGCGCACAGACTCCGTCAGCTGCTGAAGCCTCGGACCCGTTTTGAGCAGAGCAGCTGGGTGAAGACCGGGGCGCAGCAATCGCTGGCATCGAACGTGATAGTTCGGCTTCAAAGAGCAAACATTAGAAGGCCCAAGGCCCTGTGCGTGAGTGTGTCAAATGGGGCAGACAAACGGTCAAAACGATGGTTTTGTGGAACCCTCAAGTTGTTGCCTGCAGTTCTTGGGCACCCCGAGCGCAGGTGCCTGAAGTCCATGGCTGCCCATCAGCGTCACCACCAGCCAGCTGGAAACGACCACCTTGGATGATCAAGGCACACCAAGTTGGGAACATTCGTGGAGAACATTCTGGGTGTTCCCACCATGGGGAACATCAAGTGGAACGATGAATGGCGCCATGAATTCGGCCATGGCCCTTTGCTAGTCAGTCGTCTCATCCAAGCTGGCAGGGTCATGAAAACGCTTTGACCCGAGGGGCCGGGGGCCGGTCTTCAGGCCGGGGGCCGGTCACGTGTGTTTTTGATTGGTGGCGAGCCTCTCAAGCCGGCCGGCCGGGAGGTTTCACCATGAGTTCCTGTCTGCCTTTGCAGGTGTTTTTCAGGTGGACTATGAAGAACCTTCGTTCCAGAAGGGGTCGTTTCGTCGGGGGGCTTTTCATCCACCGATGGGGGAGACCCGATGGGTCTAGCTGCCATAGCTCCAAACAGCTGGGCTCATCAAAATGAGCGCGCCTACAAAACATTACAAAACTAATCCGCAATCCTGCCAATCCAAAAAATGCTTGTAATCCGAACAATCCTTAATCCGCAGTAGTCCGTAATCCTTACCCAGCCTTACAATCCGTAATCCTTAAAAGCTTTAGGAATGAAAGAATTAAAACTCCTGAATGGGGGGCTGTTGGCTTGGATTTACAAATCCAATGTAGGGATCCTCCCAACCCCGATTTGGAAGTAACCAACTCAAACCACTGAATTGGAGATTCTGCATTGAAGGGTGTTTGTGGGCCATCGGGATTGCTTGTGGCCATAGGAATCTTCACAGCCCCGAGTTGGAAGCAACCAACTCAAATCACTCAATTCGGGGGCTCTGTTACAGATCCACCCGAACCTCGGTGACTTCCGAGCCGCCACAGGTTCCAGTTCGGCACCTGCCGCGGCGCGCCGAGCCGAATTCGGGCCTTCGGGGGCTCGAAACGGGTAGGCTCTCTGAGCGGGGCGGGGCTCAAGCCATTTGGGGTGGACAGATCAAGGGTTGATGGATTCCTGGATGAACCGAACTGTCCGTTGGATGAACCGAGTGGGGAAGCCCAAAACTGGTCCCCCACACCCAAACCAAACATAGAGGTCAAATGATGTTAAAGGGTTTTCCACTGACCGAGTGGGTTTCGGGCGGTGCACCAGATTCTTGGGGTCTTCCGGTGAAGACATGGTTCAATGAAGCAAAGCTCTATTTCTGGGGTTGTCTGGCTGATTGCTCTGCATCGTATGCATGGCCACAGAAGTCTTTGCCACTGTCTTTGCCAGGTCTCTAATTACTAGAGACTTTTTTATTGGCTCTTGTTTGAGAGCATGCATGTTTGCATGGTTGCTTCTACTTGTCATCTTGTTTGAGACTCAAATCTTGCATATTTTACTGTAAATGTCAAGGTCATCTGAATGAGCACCATCACCGTCACGTGGCCTTTTCGTAGTGTGGAATGGTTTCCCGCCGCCGCCTCAGATGAGCCGAGGAAAATGCTGCGCAAAGTGCAGTGAAATATCTAGTTTGCTCTTAGGTTGGAATCCATCGCTAGTACCAGTAGGTTGGAGGGCATCGCTACTAGAAACAAAGAAAAGAAAAAAGGAAGAAAGGTCTACTATATATATATATTTAAATACAGCACTCCCAAGTCAGTTGGAGTGGGGAACCAGGCTGTTGACCCCGCATCTCCAAATATGACTCAGTTGAGCTTGAGAACCAAACCCAAATCAGCAGGCTCTGTTAGGCTCTGTCTTCGAGACTCCGAGCAAAACCAAAAAAATCCGCCTGAATCTGCCCACCGGCGGATTTCTGCTGCCGGCTGTGGCTCCATGTCCTGCCAGCTGCCTCCTGTCTCACTCTGTCACATGGTCTTCCCTGCGGATCCGCACCGGCACGAGATCCCGAGCTGCTGCCGACACCGGATCGGAGGCCGGCTGGCCGCGGCCTGGGCAAGCGCGGAAAGGAACGGTGGGAGCGGTGATTGATGGGTGGGGTGTGGGAATTGATTCAAGAGGTTTCAAGAGTGAGTCCTAACCAAAGGGTATGTATAAACATGTAATATATATAATTTTCGACCATACGAAAGTCTCATCCGCTCAGAAGCTCTTATTTTTCTCACATTGGGGACGTGTACGGTGCAGCTGTGCTGCCAGTTCATTTGGTATGGAAAAACTCTGAAAAATTCACTCCTTACACTTCTGTACAACAAACTTACTGGACCAGACTTATCACTTTTTAATTATGTCAGACTACCCGAATTTGCCCCCCTTGGACTTAATCCTTGCAACGACCACCGTTGCCTCAGGACCACCACTACGGTGTGGGCCCCCCCCACCCTCACTCCGGACTTTCCGGAGTAAGGGTGAGGAGGGTGGGTGAAAAACGAAGAGTGCGGGGGGGCCCCTCACTTGGAGCCAAAATGGCACGTGGATTCGACCGTACGTCACATGGTTCCTCCCTGTTTCTATTTGTCAAAATACATCATCACTGCGTGACAGATTGCTTTCGACCATACGAAAGTCTCATCCGCTCAGAAGCTCTTATTTTTCTCACATTGGGGACGTGTACGGTGCAGCTGTGCTGCCAGTTCATTTGGTATGGAAAAACTCTGAAAAATTCACCCCTTACACTTCTGTACAACAAACTTACTGGACCAGACTTATCACTTTTTAATTATGTCAGACTACCCGAATTTGCCCCCATCTCTCGTAGTCCAGGTCAACCTCCACCTTGACATAGTCGAGCATTGACTCTAGCAATTCCCATCGAAGCCTCGAGGGTGCATCGGCGATGTTACTTGGGGATGGCACCCTGGTGTACCAGTTTAGGCTGTTGTTGCTAGCGTCCTGCAGCATTGCCTCGATCAACATCTTCCTACAAGCCTCAGACTTGGTTACTCCAGCCACTAAGGCCTCCTTGACACCCTCGTTGTCAATGAAGTACAACACTCTCGCACCTCTGAGGAGTTGAGGGAAATGTCTCTTGATAATCACTATGGGCAACATCTCGGCTTGAGCAATCACATGCTCGTGACCAAACCCTTGCCATTCATCAACAATCTTTGGGGGAATGTTGAACCCGAAGGCCAGTGGTAATTCTGTTCGCGGAGACAGGACCACTGCTCCACAAGAGGCAGTGCCCCCTTCATACGCACCATCCGTGAAGATCAGGCACGGCATCTCATTGTTCACCGCCTCCAGTCGTCTCGGGGGAGCAGTCCTCAACAGGTCGGCCGACAATTTGAGTGCTTTGCGAATCTCACTCGTCACCCCTTTGACACTTCTACTCATCAGTGCCCTCTGCTTCACGGGGCCCATGAGGGGTGCCAACCATCTCCCACTGCACTGTGCCTCAGCGAAGTTCAACCTGCCGTACACCTTAGCTGCCGTGGCGGCTGGGAAGGACTGGACTGCCTCCATCTCTTCGATTGTGGCCTCCAGTTCTTGCACTCTATCCTCTTTGTTACGTACTATCACCACACCGTCATTGGACTGACTCAGGTCTACCACCACACCCAAGACTACAAACTTCCTAGCCGGTGGGATTCTCTTCTTGGCTTCCTCTGCAATGCCCCAGCCCAAAGTACGCATGGCCTCTTCCATGACCACCTGAGTCCTCACCACCATCTGCCCTAGGTCAACATGCGGGAAGTCGTCGAAGTAGTTGATCACTGGGATCAAAAAGAACCTCTGTAGCACCTCTCTCAGTGCCCTGGCCGCCCGATTGAAAGCCATCACGGACCCCGTCGCCCCGAACGGGAGAACATAGGAAATAAAGTACTTCACTTCATCGCTCTGGGGGTCTAGGACTGCGATGACCGCACAATTCCGGTCGGTCGGGGACAGGGGCAGCTGCTTGTATGCAGCCTTGAGGTCGAGGCACCTACCACTCAGCTGCAACTCCTTGCCCCTGAACTCCTCCCTTTTCCGCCCCTCCAGCACCAGACCCGTGGACAGCTCAGCCCTGACTTGGTCACTCGCACCCCCAAAGGTCCTCATCCATGCAGCCGCCAACGAGACTACCTCGTCGACTCCACCAAGGTCCAACTTCTCACCTGGGCCATAGCACTGATTGACCGCGAATTCGCTGAGGTCGTCTATGTTCCTCACCTTTGCTCCCTGAACTATGCCGAACCTTCTACTCGGCGTCCACAATGGTCCAACTTCCTCGGTCACTTGGCCTGCAGTGAAGGGTCCTGACAACCATCCCCTCTCCGCCTCCTTCAGGGTCGCCTCCCACACCTCATGCGCAACACTGACATGGCTCCCAGCAACACTCGCCTGTCTGCCCTGCATATGTCTCGGGACTCTGGTGGACACCTCTTGCTGGGCCGACTTTGCTGCTCGCCACAGGTCTTCCCTGTCGAGCATTGGTGGCTTGCATTCAGGTGCGAAACAGCCTGTGACTCTGCCTTCACCTGTGATCCTCATGCCGTGACACATGTCCTCTACCAGGTGGATATCCCCATAACCGACTGTCTGGATGAGCTCGGCTAGCACGAGAAGTTTCTTGGGGGCCAAAACTTCAGCAACTTTAGTCTCCATGTTGGCGTGCAGCTCATGCTCTTGTGTTTCAAGTTCTTGCATTCTCTGCTTCAACCACCTCAACCTACGAACTCTCTCTTCATGCATTTCTTGGGTGCCTTTGGTCAACACTTGAAACATGCTGTCGACGACGTGGTCTGAATCCAGTTTCGTGGCAGTGGGTGGTTTCATGGTGGTGGGTGGTTTGGCTTACCGCCCTTTGCTTTCCGTCCCTGTGGATAGTATTAGGCAAAAGTGTCGCACAAGAGTGTCCTACAAGAGTCTGTCCCACAAGAGTGTCGCACAAGACTGTCCCACAAAACAATCACTGTTATAATCATGTTTCAGGTCTGGCAGGCTTGGGTGAACATGGCTTCATTTCTACCATAAGCTTTGAACTAACGAACATTTTGGCTCAAGTGCCTCGAGCACCGCCTACAAGACGAGTGTCTTTCTGCAGTGTCCCACATATCACACGAAGACCACTTATTACCCACAATTATATACATTTTTCTTGCATGCCCCCCCACGGAAAGTGGGCGTGCTCTTAGAAAAAATCCTGGGGGATTCTTGCGCAGTAACAATAATATTTATAACCATAATAGTCTTAGACCTTCCTGCCCAGTCAGACAGAAACAAACCCTGACTAATCAAAAGGCATCAAGCGCTAAAAGGTTCTCCAGCGACAGTGGGCCCTTCCAGGCAGCAAAGAGTGCTGTAACCGATCACCGTGCGTGCAACACACCGAAAAGGAATGCTGTAGACTGTCAGTTTATTCGTTTCTATTCTTTCATCGCGGCGTGTGCGTGTGTCCGTGTGCGTTTGGTTTTTCTTTCCCTAAGATATTAGTTCTTTGGTCTTCCTTGGGTTCGGTCGTGTCAAGTGTTTGGTGTCATACAATTCAACAAAGTTAGCGAATCACGGCTCACCGACAGAATTCTGGTCAGACTTGGGTTTGTCCAAGCATTCTGGACAGCGAGTTTTTTTTCTCCCGGCCAAAAACTGGGCTGTCGCTACGTGCTTCAAACCTTCTAGGACGGGAGTGGGCCTGAGCCTGGTACCTAAAGGCACTGAATCTAAATCTGAGCTGTTTTTGGTGAGAAGGAAATGATGTTAAAATCCACCGTCGGCTGGCGCTCAGTCAGTGCCCGGCGCTCAGTGGTCATGACTCCTGGGCGGGTTCCTGCAACAGTAGCAGTCATCTTGATTCAGGCACATCCTCTTCTCACCATGCCATCCACTTATTGTTGAATGTCATCACCAGAAAAATCACAACTTGGATGCAACCGGTCGACCTGTGTTTTGCCAAGCCCTGGGGGGACGAAATGAAGGAAACTAGAATCTAGCCTCATTGATGATCTCGCAAAGCCTTTCCAGGAGCCAGAACTTCTCTGCGCACACGGACAGCCGGAGAACTCTGTCAAATTTTCTCTTGATCCTGGAAAACAAAAAACTCAAAACAGATCCAAGAAGCATTCATTGTCAGTCAACCACTTCATCCTGCACAAACTGAACGGGTCCTGACTTTGATCATCTTATGCTTCGACGCATCGCAGAGCTTCAGGTTGGGATCCAAAACCACTGCGACTTGGGGGCATTCAACATGGAAGCCATGCTGCATGAATTTCATATTTTGGCGAATCTGCACGACAGGCTCACCAAAAATCATCGTCCCCATCTCCTGGTCCACAAGCGCCATGACATCTTGGAAGCAAATCCTCAGAAACAGCAGAGTTGAACGAGAGAAACAAACTCCTCGTCCACTGCCAAACTTGAGAGACAGGGGAGACATCATGGTGCAAGGAAACTGTGACCGTTGAACAGGGTTGATTTAGTGAGTGGAGGGCTTATTGAGTCTAGCAGCACATGGCGCCTTTGCGCTCCGTCACCCGGTCCACTCAGCCAGACCACCGGCCCCAGGTCTGCGTGATCCTGCTTGAAAGCACCGGTGAGTGCAAACATGATGGTGTCAGGGCTCTCCATCTTCTGGAAGTAATGCTCCACAGCAGCTGGCGTGTCAGGTGGCCAATTCAAGTCTTTGGGATTTGGCGGGTGATCTGGCATCCTGCATCGAACCCAACGAACTTGGTTCAAGTCTGGGCCAGCCGACGCTGCCACCTCATCGGCCTAGGCAAAACCGCTTTCCGTCCATCAAAGCAAAATCACTGTAAGATTGACTGATGGCAAAAATATGCACAAACATATAACACCAAACAATGTTCTCAAGGCCAGACCATAGATGAAGTTGTCGAAGCCATGCTCCTGGTCCAAGTGACAGTTGGCCTGAGCCTGAAACCTGAAAATGTGTTGCTTCGAGCCGGAATCGCCCGCCTCCTGTGGCAAAGAGTGGGCCACCTGGCACCGGACCAACTACCAACACATGAAAAACACCCCTCAAAAACAGTGACACTCACTGCGAAAGCTCAGAGAGAATCTGTTTTTGCCCGCAGCCCTTGGCCAAATCCTAGTCTACATCTACAGCCGGGGGCTTGAAGCCAGCTTTTTTGGCCTTTGAAAGGGACTTGTGCACCTCGCCAGTGGGCTTGTGCAGCCATGTGCGCCACTTCTCTCCCTTCATATGTCCCGATTGCCGGACATGCTCGCAAACCTCAGGGAAACACTCAGAGCACCCACACAATACATTGACTCATCTCCCAAATATCTTAGTTCTACCCGCTACCAAATCAAAGAACACCAAGCCTACACCCCACAAGCCCACACCTTCCAGTCTCCCATCTCAAGGACACGTGAATCCGAATCTGCGACATCCACCCACGGCCAGTCGGCCATGGTCAACTCCTTCCTAGGCTTCTTGGCACCACTGTCCGTCCCTGCAGAAGAATTGAGAACTGTCGAATCGGGAGCTGGAACCTTCTGTGCAGAGGGTCGCTTGACAGCCGCCGTCCTGCCACCATCAGCCGCGGCCGCGCTCTGACCACCACCATTAGGCACCTCCTCAGCTGTGCCAGGCTCAGCTGAGTCAGCGCCATCATTTTTTGCCACGTTCGCTGAAGGTCGCTTGCAAACACCCTTCGCTGTGGCCTTCAGTTTCTTCTGATTCTCCATTTTGTGGTTTCCACTACTAGGCCTCTTCATGACCGGTCTCTCGTTGACTCCATTCTCTTCCTCGTCGGATGCCATGAACTCATTGCTTGCCAACGGTCGCAACTCTGGAGGTGCAGGGATAAGATGTTCCATCAACCGCCCTCGAATTGGGCCTGCAGGGCCTGCAGGGCGGCTCTCACCGGACTGAGGGCGGCTCTCATCAGACTGAGTCTCGCCAAAAGCCGCCTGGACTTCCGGAGAACTCTCAGCCACAACTGAGGGCGGCTCAGCACTTTCGTCATGGACCCTCTCAACAGGCTCAGGAGATTGAAACAAGGTCCGAGCAAGGCGGGGCTCTGGGCTGTTGAGAGGCAAGTTGGCAGCCTGAGCCTCACTGTCAATCCGGCTCAGCATTCGCTGGGCTTGTGACCTCACGGCGTCTTTCAGCGAAGACATCACTACCTTCAAATTTACTCGCTATCAAACGGACCTGCAAAATCTTGAGTTAGGCAGGATGGCCGGAAGCAAAAGACGATGATGGCTATTGTGGCTAGATTTATCGATGTGGGTCAATCAGTCTGTCAGTCAGCGCGTCAGGCTTGCAAGACATAACAAATTTTGGACGAGTCCTCGCAAGTCCTGCGGCGCAAAATTGGAAAAGGTGCCTGAATCCCAGGTTGTGAATTGTTTCAAAGTTCAATTCAGTTGTCAGGCTTCCAAATCGCCGAAACCAATTGCTCCAAGCCCAGCCAGCAGCCTGCTTCTGGCTGGAAACAAAGCTTGGGATTGGGAATGTTTTGACACGAAGGGATGAATTGATTATAGTAAGTGCTTTGAAACATTTGAAGTTCTGAAGCAAAACATTGCATGGGCTTGGTGTCCCCAGGCGGCCGTGCGTGGCACCTAGCTGAAAACCAGCAGAACAAATAAGTAAATCATCAGGCAGATTGCTGTTACTTAGAAATTAAATTAGGAATTAGATCTCTGGAGCGATGACATGATGCAACCAGCAATCAGAACCACGGCGTGGACGTACATCTGAAATTCACTAGGCTACCTGGACAGGCTTGCCAGCCTCGAGCGTGACAGCCAACTTTAGAAAGACGTATGGTTTCTGTACTTTGGTGACCGCGTGGATGCGATCATACCGATAGCGGAAACAGGTCAACAAAGCCTCAGACTCTTTGATCTTCAAGGCGGAATCCCAAAAGATGGATTTGCAGGTGAGAGGCTTCGAAAGGTCAGGGCTTGTCTGGTAGCAATGCAAATTCTGAGGGCTGATGTCAAACCCATCGCCTCCCTGTCCGACCTTTCTTGCGCACCTGGTGTAGCTGATGTCATAAGACGTCACACGCTTGGTTTTCTCAATCATCAAAAGGTAGCGGTAACACGTCATGAGCTCCGACGTGGTGGACTCGTGGTTGACCGAGCTCATGTCGACTTGTATCACGGTCTTGTCGCCTTCATCCCAGCTCAGCTTCACATACTTGCCCTGCTCGGCCTCTGGCACGGATGCATCGTAGGGCACATACCTGGGAGTAGAACAAATCGAAAAACTATTGGATGTTACAATAAAAGCCATTAGGTCATACAAGTGAACTGGAATCAATACTGAAATAGCTCTATATATAAATATCTCTACATATATAATGCAATATCAATCTTCACTGTCCATGACTATGGAAATCTTCTGTTCCAAAATTTAGCCCAGGCACCGTCCAGTCCCGAACCCTCCGACAAGGGTGTGCTTTGGCAGGATGCGCCGACTGGCGCAAACTAGGAAGACATGGCCACTCTTGGCTTTCAGGATCTCGACACCAGTCACTTCAGACACGCATTGTGTAATGATTTCCTCAGACCCCTTCAGAGCAGCCGTGGAGTCGAACACCTTCAGTTCAGGGCCGGAACCTCCAGATCCAGCTCCATCTCCACTCCCAGAGCCACTACCAGGAGTGGTTGTCACAGCAGTGACAGCATCGGAAGTTGCAGTCTCTGCCGGGGCACTGCTTTTGTCCAGGACATGCTGCAAACAATTCTGGAACTTTGCCACATGGTTGGCGCTCAACTTCTCGAACCTTCGGCTGACCCAAGGCCCAGAACAGTTTGCAATATCACTAAATTAAACCTTACTGTCATAAGCCCCAAAGCAAATTATTGTTTTTGGATCCTCCAAGGAGCTGGGCGGTTGTGTCACCACCGACATTCGTCCACTGACGCTGATGGTCCGGGTGGATCCTGAACTCGTGCCCGCTTCGAACCAGGACTTTCAGTTCCATCGTCTCCGGCTTGTCCAAGTAGGCAACGCCATCAATGTCGCGCTTTTCCTGGGGCAGAGCGGAATGGACATGATTTTTGAAGAGTGTCACCCAGCAAAACTAAACTGAGGTTAAAAATAAGGAAGGAACATCAATCAATCAATGAACAAAGAAAACCAATCTGAAGCAACCAGACAAGGATCTTCTTCCGTCAGATTCTCCTCTGTATCGTTGAAAAAGACGCCCCCAAAGCCCAGCTTTTTCTCCAACCATAAATCCAACAATTCTCGGCCCACGCGGCTCTTGGCGTACTTGGCCCCCTCCAGCCCATCCAGTGTGTGGACCGACAAGTAGTACAACTTTTGCAAGTTGAACTGGGAGTCTGCCAATGGCGTCCCGCGAAGACGCAAGTTCATAACCTCCAGGCAAGGCTGCTGTCAAACACCCGACAATTACAAAATGGAATCTGGATCTGCCAGGTATGAAAGGGGGAGTGACAGCAAAACAAAGAGTCATTGTTACAATGGTTCACAAATTGATCAAAGTCCAAATAGCCAAGTAGCTGCCACAGCCAGCTCTTCGACATAGCCGGTCAGGTTGCAAACCAGCACTGCTTTGAAATCTGACGACGTGCGCCTCAAGCAGGCCTCCAAGAGCATTTTTTGGCGCTTCGCCCCCTTCTGCGCAGCTAGCTGTTCCTGACTCGGGCGGAGCCTCTCAGCGATCCGGACATGGTCCTTAGACCACAAGACTTGAAGACTTCAAAAAGGAAGTGTCCGGAAAACACCTTATTTAAAAAAAACAAACAAACTTGACAGTGCAGTAAAACCATTCATTTGAGGATCTGGGCTGGCTGATTCGGGAATGAGGATGGCGGATGTTCTGGGCAAAATTGTCAAGGGTGCCCCACCCTGCGCCTCGTTCTCTGAGCACACGCGCCCATAGATGGCCAATTCGGAATTCAGCCATGGATTGCTAGCTTCCTCCATGGCGGATGTAATGATACGGCCACTCCCAAATCTGCGGCCGTTGTTCTTCTTGGTCTCGTGGGTCCAGAGATCAATCCATCGCACCTCGCACTTTTGGTTGAGGGAGTACAGTTCCTCAAACACTTGCTTCTCCTCATCGAACAATCCACGTGGGTTGGACTCTCTGGCCCAATCTGGTAGAGTCAAGACACAGGCCGTTTTGGATGGGCTGCTCTCATTCAAGGCAGCTATTCCCTTACACAGGGCCAAGCAACCCTCCCTGTTGCGTGCATGGGGCACATTCATGTCGCACCAAACCAGGACTGCCACGTCGTCCATACCCACCTTGGCATCTTTAGCCTGGGCGGAAGAGCTCGTAATTTCCAAAGAGAAGAAGGCTAACAAAGAAAACGACACAACAAAACTGCAGGACACATGAAAATTGTTTCTTGATGAGACCAAGGACCACCTGAGATTTCATCTTCGTGACCTCTGCCATCATCAGCTCCATCTTTGGAACAGAAACGACCCGGGTGTAGGCCTCCTGCAACATGTCATTGCCCATTCCATTTTACAAATTATGGGTTTTCTGCGTAGGGGTTTCTGTGGCTAAACTCAAACGATGAAAAAAAGAACCGTTTCAAGCGGAAGCCGGTCCTGGTAACCTGTCACGGCCATTTTGCCAGCTTCTGCCTGCTCCTGCCTGCGAACCACAGTCTTGGCGTGTAGCTTGGCCTTCACCTTCGCTGGAACCTGGCTGACGCAGCTGAGGGTGGCCTGGTCCTGTTCCAGCGCATTGCGAAAGTAAGTCCACTGAGCGGCTTGGACCGCGTCGCGCTGAGTCTGCAGCTCGCTGTGGATCATGTCTTGCTTCTGCTTCTCCAACCGCTGCGCATGTTCCCTCTGCGAGCGCAGCATTGACAGACTGACCCGGGCAGGGCGAGCCTGGAGCACAGGTAGGAAGTCATCATCGCACCCACCTTCGATGAAGCCCTTCTCAATCTTCTGCGCCTCCTCGTCCGGCAATCGTTTGGAGATGCTCGGCCAAACCTGGCTGAAGAGAACCGACAAATTCCGGAGTTGCAAGAGTTGGTCTGGACTGGCTCTGTACTTCTTCTTCAAGTTGGCTTGAATGCCAACAGTGGCCCTGTTGAACGTGAAGCGGACCTTGCGGAAAAAGATCTTTTGACTGGACTCCGTCATTGGCAGGCTCCAGTCAACCTGCAGTAAACACACGCTGCAGTAAACACACACTGCATGCGGCTGACAAAAGAAACAATATGAATGGAATAAAAACATATACAAACTAACGATGATGATCGCCGATGAGAAATGATGTGAAAAGAGAGCTGATGGGAATCAAACCACTTCAACGTAGCCTTCCTCTGGCAATGGGACAGAAGCAGGGGTTGGGCCATCTGACACCGGCACTGTGTCAACTGTTGAGGTCAAAAAGCAGCTGTTCGTGTAGCTAAATGCCTCACCGAACGCGCCGAGGTTGAACGCTAAGTCGTGCGTCGAGTGCAAGACTTCCTCGTACGCTGCTGGGCAGCACCGGTCCAGCCAATTCCTGACTCCTTGGCGCTTCCGCCCGTCTAGGGCTATGGACCCTGTCCCACTCTCACCTCTATCGTGGGCCAACACCGTGGGGTGCCGGTTGTAGGCTGTCAGGGCCTCCTCAAAGGATGTCTCGCTGCCAGTCAATGATCTCAAGATGGAACTCCAAGCGAAGCTTGAGATGGGTTGAACTTTGGCGTTCACGTTCTGGGATACAATCCGGTTGATGACACTTTCTAAGGGTGAGCCACTTGTTTCGCTGGCTCGCACTGTCGTGCCGATCTTCAAGAAAGAAGTGATCATCCCCGCCACTCCAGGAGCAGAGAGGCCTTCCTTGCCGTGGGCCTTCCACACCAGCAACATGGCCACCCACACCGTCATGGCTGCCAACATTTTTTGTGATCCATCACCGAACAGGAGCTTGAACATGACACCCTCCTCGCCCAAGTCATCGGGTGGCCACTGGAGAAACCGGGCGATGACCATCTCGCCCTGAAGAACAAACCATCAGCAGTCAGGTCCAGTCTTTACTATCGCTCTACGGTTGATTCCGATTAGGTACTCACACGTCAGATGACCCAGCCCCTCGTAACGCCGCTGCTGCAGCGGATCCTAAGATCAACAATGATGCCGACGATGATGATGGTGATGAAACCAATCACATGTTGTGAAAAGAGAGTCGATGAGACATGAAAGTAAAGCGCCGCCCAAGC